AGGATAAACAGGCTGCTCTGGTGCCCCTGTAACATATGTAGCATAGCACCGACTTGTCTGGCATCATCGGGGGAGGATGCACCTAATCATCTAGAGACTTGATGCCCCATGGAGGGGGTTACCAGAGGGTCACCCTCTCAGAGATGAGGAGAAGTATGATGGAGGGGAAAACTCTGTGAGGGAGGACCAGGAGGGAGGCAACAATTATAATGTAAATAAATAAAATAATTAATTAATAATAAAAAGAAAAGCCATATAGAAACCCAATACTATAAAAGTATTTTAAATATATAAGATATAAATGGAATTTAAATAGTGCTACCGTATAATGGGAGACAATGACCCAACTATACCTCTTACACTATCAAATAAAATTTCTAGTGCCTAGAATACATCATGTCTTTTGATATTTTGATCAAAGTGTGTCCCAGAGACTTTGCTTCCAAACATCAGTCTATTGCTAATGCTACTGGATATCTTCCAAAAGGTCTGATAGCTAAAGACACTGAATATTTATGTCATTTAACAAGCAGAAATCAAGCTGATCCTCAACACTTTCCATAGTGTTGGAAATTATACATACTACTTTACCCAAAAAGTAGTATTCAGTCTCACCAAGATATAACTCTAAGAACTACAATAGAGACCTGTATGCAAAATATACTCTCTGGAGTAATAATGGCACAAATGTTAAGGGAGTAAAAAATCACATTTTGATTGGATTTCAGGTATATACCTTAATATGAAACCCATATCTAACATTTAATTAAAACAAAAACCTGAGACTAGATAATTCATGGGCTCTAAGAGGAATGTCACTGCAATTATTTTGCTAAATGAACATGACAATAAAATGACCCCTAATAACATTGCTACACCCATAGATAAGTGGATCACTGAATTATTGTCAAGGAAACTCCTTCTAATAATAGATGCATGAACACTGAAACTCACATTGTACATCATGTAGAGGTTCTGGGACTTTTGAGCATTCGATCTTAATGGGATGTCTTTATCAAACAGATTTCTTCAAAGTTAAAAATTAGGTGAAAAGATTTTTAAGAGCCAGAAGTGAGGGATGCCTCCAAAGACAGAGCTTCTTGTACTTGCAGACACAACAAGGCTGATGCACATACAAATTCAGAAACTCTGACATGATGAAGATTCACATGTGTTAAAAACCAGAAAAGAACCCATCACCTAGAAGGGTAAGTGGTCACAAAATTCCATGTGTAAGAAGTTATTTGAAACGTTTAGTCCCTTGAAGCACTCACATTGCATCTTGCTTTCCCTGTTTTTTCAGTTCAGGTCTGACTCAGAAAGTCAGTATAGCTATTGTTTGACATTGGTATCAAAATGATTTTCACCTTGTAAAATTAATTGTGAAGCATCTGTTGTCTGCAGGATACCATGTAGAACTTATATTACTGCACCCTTGAACTGCTCATGCAATTCTTCACCAAAATATTTGGAACCTGAAAGGGTCTGCCCAGTAGAGATTTCTCAACAATCCCATTGTATCAAAGGAGAAACTACTATGACATTATGGGTTGCCAAAGGTTCATAAATTCTGCATTCCATAGCCTAGCTGGAGTGCACCTTTCTTCCAGGACAAAGGGACTGCCTATGATGATGGCACTGGGTAGGATGGTGACACAGTAATATTGCCTTGGATTTAATCATATGTGAGCCGTTATGGTGACCTATTATAATATACCTTGGATAACTCTTGTTATATTTACCTTAGGAAGAAAGTTAACTTGACATATAGGAATTAAAGGTCTTATTCCAGGTATTCATTTGACAATTGAAAGCCAGATAAGAGTTTGAGCCAATGTAGAAAGAATTTTTGTTTTGGGGAACCCAAATCTGAAAGAGCAATTAATCATAAAAGATGACCATTGTTAAAAACAGAGGCTCCACCAGGAAACATGAGCTTCATCTAGGGAAGAAGTGTAATGTAAATTGGTCTAGAACTGAAATTAGTTCTCTAAGTACCAAATAGCTTATAAAACACTAATGGTACTTCCTAGAAATTTGGATTAAAAGTTCCACTGACCTCCAGAAGTCATGTTGTTATTTCCTGATCTTGAAATGCTGGAAACCCTAACTTACATTTATAGGAAAATGAGCGTTTCAATACAGGTGGGCCAGGTGAGTAAACTGCAGAAGTGGCTCTTGTAGCTGAAGAAGGCATATTTCATTGAAGAAAGCTTCCAAGACATACATGAGTCTAAACAGTTTGGTTGTGGTGTAGAAACAAGACACTCGAGTAAGCACACATGTGCACCTGGAAGGGCTGCTTCTACTGCTTCTAATACTGCAGAAGAACCCAGACCATGACTCAGGATACTGAGCAAAAGCTTTCATGCAAAACATTCACAGGAGAAGACCCTGAACATTATGTAAGCTAAATCTTCCTAAAGGATACGCATGCATTTCTTCAATTAAAAAAAAAATTTAATCTCAAGAATAGTCTATGGGACACTGGATCGATTCTCCTCCTGTCTTTATCATGAATGAATTTTCGTTTCCATGTTGAAAAGACTTTTCTTTGTTGTGATTATATTTCACAGAAAATACCATTTCTTTATATAAGAGGATATGTTGGAGAGTTGTAAACGATGTATTAGAAAGGCATAGTTAACTTTATAAATCAGGTAAATCCCTTAAGGGCCTTTTTTTTTTTCAATATTAACTACTTGAAAGTTTCACCAAGAATATGACAACTTCAGGAAAAATAACCAAGAAAACCCCAGAAATCATGGAGCTTCACACCTGTCCTCAAGGGACTTGAAATTGAACATAATACCTTGGTGACTTAGAGGAAAACATATTTCAAACTCCAGCAATTAGAAGAGTACATCTTTACATTCCACTAACACTCTTATTTTGCATATCTCAGTCCCTAAGACAGGGCATAGTTGTCATTTGTCACTACCTTAACTACCTTGAGTGTTCAATACTTATGATTAAATGCTGAATATCTACATTATTAACAGTGCTAAACAAACATGGGAAACACCAATTCAAATGTACATAGAATGAGATCAACTCACAAAATAATTTTAGCAAAAAGGCATGAGGAGAATTTATTTAAATGCTAAATACAGTTGAGGGAGGCCAGTGACAAAGGTGGAAAGTAATCAAATATTTGAAACCCATCTTAATTTTAAATATGATGATCCTCTGATTTTTTTTCCTTTATGGTCCATATTACATAAAACATAGACAATATAAAAATGAAGTGAAAATAGAATATAAAGAATAAGATCTTTTAAAATTATATTTCCAGTACAAGTTGGTTATATCTAAGCCACTCTACACTGTGGTGCTACAATTGTGGTGATTATGGTGCAGTGGTAGTAGTGATGAACTTGTGCTTACTGTGATGGTGATGATGCTCATGGGTATGGTGGTGCAAGTGAAGTTGAGGGTTACAGTAGAGACAACAAAGGTTATAGGTGGTGATAGATGTGCTGTTGATGGTGATGATATTTAAGGAGGTAAAAGTAAAGATGATCAGCAAATGCCAGGCCCTGACATCTATCTAATTCTAAATTGTTGTCAGGGATTGTACTAAAAAATAACTTGCATTTATTCTAGTTTTGCAAAGACAAATAATTGATCTATTTAAGAGTTTCAATGACTAATAGTAAAAATAAAACATAGCCTGGATCCTGAAATTTCAGAAAAATGAAAATAAACAGTTGAATCCCATTGCTCCAAGGTACAAATCAGTACTTTCAAAGTAGTAGTAACAAGTTTTATTCAGAATATAGTTAAAGAAACTCAAACACATTACTGAACAGACTGGAGATTAATTGGTCCAGGATGAAAATCAGTATAGAGTATAACAATAAAAGCTGTACTAACATAAGATTGATAGACAGTGCTTGTGTATGCACACAAAGGGGTAAAATAGAGCATGCTCAAGAGATATATTTATGTCCATCTTTATTATATCACAACTCATAATGTACAAGTTAAATAATCAGGATTGGTACCTATCAATGGATGACTTTATTAAGAAAGTATGACATCTGTATATCTATCAGAGTGATATTCATACTTAAAGAACAATGGCATCATGTTGTATTCATAATGCTACATGATATAGCTGAATATCATCTTGTTAAGAATAATAAGAGTATTCTCGGAGGAACACCTGAGGGGGTAATGGGATGAAGGCTGTGGAGGTAGAGGACTATAATCCTGATGTAAAGTGAATAAAGAAATAAAAAGAAGAAAGAACAAGGACATTCTAAAAGACATGGTGAGTGTGTTTGTTTTAGATGTAAAAAAAGAATAATTTAACAAGGATACATTAATGTACATGTGTAAATATTAGGGGACAAGTGTGAGCAAAATATGTGAGATGTAGGTGCAAATATGATCCAAGTCATACATACATGACTGAAAACCACATCTTCTTAAGTTAGCATATCCTAAAAGGAGAAATTATACTTTTGTGAAATGAAGTAATGTGTCCTTCAAGCAATCAAACAGTAAGTAATCTTTGCTATGACTCAAAATTCAGTCAAAATACAAATGTTGTAGAATGACATGTGGACCATATAATAAAAATTAAGAAAAATAAGCATATCACAAAGATAGGAAAGTGAGTTTTAAAAGAAAAGAATACATTAATACCATCAAAAAGATTATACTTTATTCAGAAAATGGAACAACAGTAACACACAGATTTGGAAACCATACTGTGAAGGTTCTGATAAGACACCTACTAGGCTTTCTTTTGCGCATCTGGGTTATGTGTTGAAGGAGGACCATTCTCAGCATTCCAGTGAAAAAAATCAGGATCATAGTCTCAAGGAAATGCCTTCCCTACTATGAGACATAACAGGCATACTGACGGCAAAGGGTAGAAAAGATTCTTTCCCATGCAAGATGTACTTTGAATGGAAGATGGAAGTATTGCTGTGGAAGGACAATAGATGGTTTCTCTTCTCTTCCCTTTGTCCTGAAGACTGCTAACATGCTCACTTGTTCTTGGGTGGGCACTTCTGCTGGCATGGTGGAGGAGTTTGCACAGAAGGGCATTTCTGCTGGCATGGAGAAGGAAGATGTGGCTCAGAACACTTAGAAGGAGGACAAGGCTCAAGGTACTTTGTAGGAGGACAGGGCTCTGGACACTTTGGAGGAGGGCAAGGCTCAGGACACTTGGGTGGTGGACACACAGGAGGAGGTTGACAGGGCTGCTTGCACTGCTGTTCTTGGTAAGACATTGTGCTGAGGTCTCAGGATCTGAAAGACATTACATGCGCTTGCTAAGGGGTGATTCAGAACAGAGAAGATAGATGGACACATGAACATCAGATCTATTTCTACTTCTAGAAATAAACATTATTCCCCAACTCTTCTTTTAAGACTTCCTAGGTTTTCCATTTCCTGTAAGCACTCTGTTGCATGAGCATTGGGAAATCCTTCTTTGCTTCATGCTTTTTTCCAAGAGAAAATATTTTGTTTCAATAAAACAAATAAGGCTATTTCACCTTCAAGAATAGCAATCTCAAGTTCCAGAGAACTGAGAAATCTCAAACCAGTTCCAGTACCCATCATTACCTGTATCATTCCAATAAGCTATCTGGGGTTAGACAGTAAAGGACAGCTCAGTAAAATCTCAGGTTCTCATACCTACTAAAGTATATGGACTTTCAAAGAACACCAAAGTATGCACATAAAAGAGGGGTATATTCTATTCAAGAACCTACTAAATAAAAGAGAAAGTTACTTGTCACAGTGGTCTGTGGTATTCATTGATAAGTTTCTGACTACTATGTAGGTACCATTTATGCCATGATCAAAACTGGACTCGCTACACTTATTTTCTCAAAATTGACTACGGCACATAAAAAGGCCAGAGAGACAGAAAAACTCAAGTAATGACACTCACCAGCTTCTCCAAAGAAGTGTAGGACTTGAGTACCAGGATTCTGTAGTCAATCAGCCAAGGATCTCTTTATAGGACTGGCTTCTCAGCCCAGTGAATATAGAACTAACTGAGAGTGGACAGACCCAAGAATTTCTCAACCAAAATGCAAATCCATACATGACTGGCTTGACCAGAACTTTACAATATAAGACATGTCCCATTCCTTGATATCATTGCTAGTTCAGTGATGTGACTCAGAGGGCTCTCTTGACTTTCCAATTTCAGTAAGATTTGATAGATGTAGAAATTGAGTGCTTTTTGCTCTGGTTGTCTAAGTTCTATTTCTTGATTCAAGACATTTTTTTTCCTCTGAGCAGCTGTCTTAATTCTTCTACTTCAGCTCATTGGTATTATGTGATACACAAGCCCATTTGCATTTCTGTTTTTCAGACTAAATTTTTCTAAGGGCTGAAAGAATGGAATTAAAAGGACTTTAGTTATAATTTAAGCATCATGTTTTATAAGTCTTCCAAGAGACAGTCATGTCTCCTGCCTAGGATACATGACACATGTGTTTCTGTGAACAATAGAAAGTAATGTATGCCCTTCAGAGTAGAGGCTGATGATCTTTGGCATTATCCTGACATTTTACAGAACTGCCATGTTAAATGATATATTTGCGAGACATATATATATATATATATATATATATATATATATATATATATATATATATAT